GTCGTCCGGACGAGTTTGCCGGCGGGCGAGTCAATTTAAGCCAAAATTGTGCGTGATGCAACAAGTGCGTTGCCGAGCCACCGAGGGTTAACCTAAGGTCGTTTGATCCTATAGGAACTCATTTTTAGACCCTCTGCATGTTGGTCCTTAGCCCTTGCAACTAGAAGTTGAGTGCTTGGGACCATTCGTGCGAGTTTTCACAAAAAATGAGTAAAGAAGCAGTTTGAAGTTCTATGGGAGGTGGGCTCCATTACTAGTCCGCTAGGATGGTCAACCAGGAACTCCTAAGGCTAGATCCTAGGTTCTAAGATTAGGAGGCTAAGACCTCACTAAAAATGAGGTCAACAAACTTGTGCTAGGAAGATGGGCGGTCAGATTAGAACGTTGGCGATAGATGTTTACTGTGAATGAGTTAGCTCACTCTCAAAGTGGTCTACATCATGCATATCTCATCTTGAAGGAATGTGCTTATGCACTTAGTTGCTGACAGAATCTGAATGATAAACTCTTTTAAGGATTTTGAACATTTTTAGAATGTACTCAGTCTTTCTCAGAGAAGATGTTAGCTTCCATGTTGGTGGAGATGAGTTTGGAGGTGAAGCTTGAAATATTAGCTTCTCCATCACATAAACGATAAAAATCCAGACATCAGAGAAATTGAAGCCCCAATTTTGGGAAGCTGAAAAGATACTTGCATAATAGCCCAATTTTTATATGTTATTTGTCTCTTCTAATTAACAATCTGCAATTGCATACAAGATATAGGATGGCAATCAAATATATTATGCTAAATAGTAACGGAGCGATGCCAAAACTCTACAAGACAAACCTAAATTAATGCGACGGATGCTACGATACAACTGATGCTAGGCAATTTGAGGCGTGCACCTTGCTCTAGTCATTTGAAACTTGAGCTTAATGAGTCTCTGTTAGAAATTGCGCCGAGTTACATCCATGTTCTGTAGTTTAATGTAGTGCTGGCGAGTACTTGTAATTACCGTGAATAGTCAACATTGTTGGGTTTTGAGGGGATGATAGCATAACGGGAGCAGCAGGGGTATGGAGATCAACGGATTCTTCTTTAATTTTCTAGCTTGAATGGCCTTATTAATGAAGATGAAATTCTTTGATGCTGTCGTTAGAGACGGTGGCTTTAGTTAAAATAAAGAGGGCATGACGATTCGAGTATGTTTGATTTTTCAGACCTATTTTGAAATTTAAATAGGACTTGAGAAGGGAAGCAATACAAGCCCCAAAATTGTTACACCTAGTACCTCCATTCTATGATAGAGATGCATCAAATCGCCATAAAATTTGCTTTGAGAACATTGCAAGCCCTTGAAGTTCTCTCAGGTTCACTTTTAAGACCATCTCAATATCCAACCGGGAGCATTACTCAAGTCTCTCTAATGTAGCTGAGTGGACCCATCTTGATGACTGAACTTAGTTTGTTATGAGTCGAATACTTGGCGGTTCCATCTCTCAAATCCAATGCTTATTTCAATGTAACATAAGGCACATGAAAATCTCTAAAGTATCCCTCCATAAATACAAATACTCTAAAAGCTTGAGACCCATGCTTCTTCATTAATAATTGAAATGGTTTAATGAACCATGTGGCTTCTTATGTATCAACATGATAATTCATATGTTGACCTTTTCGCTGGCCTCTGCATTTATTTAAACCAATGCTTGACGACGAATATCTTCCGTTTTCCGAATTCTTCTAATGATCATTTTGCTTGAGCAAGAAATTTTCTATTGATTAGAGTAATAAAAATCTATCTTTTACATTCTTTTTCTTTGATTTCACTGTGGTTTAAAGAGTTTCTTTGTATTATTCTTACATGTACTATATCCTTAGAAGCATGTCCTGATGATGAGGCTATTGCTCCTGTATATTAGCATTTTCTGAAGGGGACTGATTGGGCTATTTGTTAAAATCAAATGCTGCGTCGTATTTCAGCAAAGTAGTTCAAATTAGGTAGAAATGTTATGTTTAATGGTAAATTACACGTGTGGATGAAAGAATCTAGAAGTAGAAAGTAGAGAAAAAACTCCATTAATTTTTGTTCATCCTAAACATTTTCTTGATCAAATGCTGTGCAGGAGTTCCTGGCCTTACCGAGGGCTGATGCAATCCATCTTCTAATACAGTATAACGCCGAGACCGTCATTCAACAGATATTCTCCTAGCTTTCCACTGTACAGTTGTAGACCATCCTTCAAAGGAAAATCAATCATTCAATAGGCAATTAGGCACGCCTGACGCCTCTGTTGGTGTGGTTCAGGTATTTCTTTGTTCCTCATAACGCCATCAAATGCGACATACTGTATAATTCTTTTGAATTAATATTTGCATCAGTTATTTCACACGCAGTAACATTTCAGCAAAGCTGTACATTAGTTTGTATATTATATATAACTGGGGGGGACTCGATTAAGTCGTGAAAGAAGCTGTGTTGTTTATATTACGTTTTAATTTTTATTTTATTTTATTTAATCATTTATTTGTTTTTATTATTATTAGTGTTGTCTAACATATGATAACCAGTCTGGTTTTCTTCAGCTGTTTTTGCAACGATTTGACATTTTTTCCTTAAATTACGGCTTTGCGTAAAAGGGCCTATATATACCCTCATATGATGTATTAAAGTGAAATAAAAAGTTATTCACTTATCTTTCTTCAAGCACGTTTCCCTTCCTCATCTTCTTCCCTATTTCTCATCTTCTTCCTGATGTATTTCTTTTAGGTGTCTGAGCGGCAAAAGCTTAAAAACAACATGGATTCGATCTCCCCAACCTTAGCATAAACAGATCAACAATCCACCACATTTTTCAACAAGATAAAGGAGATAAATATCAAGATTCAATCATAATGGGACTGGAACCTTCATTGACAATCAAGGTTATCTCTTAAGACAATTTATAGAAAGAAACTTTGTTATTGTAATTTTGTCCACCATTTCCCCTTCAATTCTCCCATAAATTCTTCACATCAGTAATATAACCGAAATATGGCATAGCTTAGAAAAGAGATTTTAATCCTCAAACAGATCAAGAATTAAACCTCAAGAACGAACTTTAAGACATTACTATGAGAGAAAACACAGTGATTCAATATCTCACTGTCATCAAGAATTTAGTGGAAAATGTTGCAGCCACCGGTTCCAATATTGAAATTAAAGATATAATTCTTTATATTCTAAATGCTTACAACTAAGACATCAATGTTTCAAGGCCGCCATTGGAACACAACTAAACCCGATAAATTTAGAAGAGTCCTACTCATTATTACACAGTGAGATGAAACTTGGCAAATGAAACAACTAAAATAATTCAACATTTAACTTTACTGACATATAGAGGCAAAGGAGGGTGCCAAAATCAAAGGAACTTCAATAAGAACTTCACAAATAAAAAATATCAAAACAACAATATGCCAAAACCCAAAACTATTGTGATATGTCAAATTTGTAACAAAAAGGGTTATTCAGTCACTCAATATTGACACATAACAAATCTCCAATACAAAACAAACTCCAATTTTCAAGTTACTACCCTCATGACTCAATTTAATGTTCGGCCACAAGAATGAGTTTTGGACACTAGAACAACATCCCATCTCACTCCTCATATGAGAACTTTAAAGCCAGTTCCATACACAGGATTTGCAAACCGGAGGTTGGCAATGGTGAAGTCACTGAAATCGCCATATAGGGAACGCCATTCTTCCAACTCCAAACAGTAAGCTTAAACTCTCCCCCATCTTTAAAGTAAATAAAATATCTCATGATCTCAGATTAGTTAAAAGACAACAATTGTTAAGCTATCCTCAATGGTAACAATTTTAATAGTTTTAAAATTCAGCACTTAGCAACCAAAAAAATTCTTCTCACTGGAACAATTGATCAAAGGGCTTTACCCGATTATAGCCTTTAACACTGTCAAAAGCTCAAATATTTGGTATCAAAATTAGTGCACCCTCACAATAAGGGCATGTCCATGGTCTCTCATGCTCATCCTCACCTAAAACTTCTTGTAACTACTCATCCATGTCATGATTGTTATCTAAATAAAAGTCATAAAATATCTTTCGATTGTAGTTGTACAACATATTAGATATTAGAAAGCTTACACTCAAATATTTAGGGACCTTTCCCTAATTCTTCAATAGAAGGGTACACATATTATGCTACTTTTATTGATTCATTTTTTTTTTGGGTGCATACCTTTACAACATAAATCTAAAGCCACAATACATTTTATTTCTCTACATAAATGTTAAAAAATCAATTCAAAGCAAATATAAAATACTTTATGATTGATGGAGGAGGTGAATATATGTCAGATGCTCTTAATTTTTCTACAAGATCAAAGCATCAAACTTCAATTTAGTTGTCCTCAAACTCCTGAACAAAATGGTATTACAGAAAAAAAAAATCGCCACTTGGTTGAAACTGCTAGAACCCTTCTTAACACAGCTCATATTTCTATCCAATTTGGATAGAAACTATACAAACAAACAATTATTAATAAATAGACTTCCCTTTACAATCACACAAAAAAATCACTTTTTCAATTATTACACAAAACTAAACCTGAATATCAATATCTTAAAATCTTTGGTTGTCTATGTTTTCTCTACTAACCACATAATATTTCTCACAAGCTCTCTCTAAAAGCTCTCTCTAAAAGCTCCATGCGTCTTTTTTTGGGATATTGCCAACAACACAAAGGCTATAAGTGTTTTGATATTTAGGCCAAAACATTTCTCATCTCAAGTCATATTACTTTTTTTTGTGAACATTTTCTCTACAAACACCTCCTTCAAGTGCCCACTAATAACTCTATTATTCATAATACTATGTCACCACCCTCTCTACTTATCTCACATCTACTATTACCACTTACACTCGCTCACTTCCCATTACTTAATTTTCTCATTCTCACACTGATCACACTTAATTATTGATCCACTCCTTTCTACATTATCTTTACTACACAACACTCACACATAAAACTTCAACACCTCTGTTGAATATTATAACATACAAATTTCATCACCCCAATCATCACAATTGTTAGCGTCAATTTTTTATGTCACGTGTGTAGGGTGTCTATTTGATTAGCCTGGGACAATTCACAACTCATTCATAGCATCCTATAGCTCAAGGCACCCCTTCGAAATCTCCAATATGTGTTTGGGGCACGAAACCAGGGTCTGTGACGATTCATCATTATCTGGGGGAACCCACAATTGTGCGGGCCTACTCAGGACATTGGACATGTTTGATGTCCATCATGATGTTTAGAAGTTCCTATGTATCCATTCAGAGCTTCCTAGAAGTCAAGGGAAGTCACAGACTCCTCCTACGCGTACTACGTAAAAAATAGGGTTCGGAACACCCTACCCGCGTCGTTGTCCAGAGCACCCTACCCGAGCCATAGTCTGGAGCACCTGTTGGCGATGAATTCTCCAATTAATGGATAAGCAAAATACTCATTTTTGATATTATGGGATCATAATTTACTCGTGTGCTCATGTATCCTTTGGATCGAGAAAATCCTCGATTCGGTGCTCCTGGTGAAAACCAACATAAAAATCATCTGGTTATATGTTTGGTCTTCATGCTTTCTATGGGGTGCTTTATTGTCTGAAATTGATTAGTTTATTTTGATTGAACTGTTTTTTGTTTTTTTCTAATTTAGTCTTTTTTTTTAAAGGCAGCTTAACACTGCACTCATAAATTGATTAATTTTTCATCAAACTTTTTATTATAAGCACCTAAAACAATCGGGAAAAATTTTTCTTTTATTTGAAAACTCACTTCTCTGCTAAAACAATTATTTGAAATATTTTCGCCTTTGAGTTTGTATCTATGATTTAGACAACAAAATCATTCTATCGATAGCATTTTTAATGGGATCGACTTTTCAAAATCTATCTTCATACGTTTTGATCATTAATGTGTGCTAAAATATTCATGAAAGTAGAATGATAAGTTAACATTTCAGCATAGTCTGAGATTCTTCACGCATATATAAAAAAGAAAATTAGAGGGAAGAGACTCCATAATTTTTACGTGGAAATTCTTGAAAAAAAAAATATGGGACTTGACACAGTCGAAGTAGTATATTGTGTAGTTATTAATTTATAGACTAATTCTTCTCCTGAATCAGAAAAGATGGAATTACAAAGTTAATATACAATGGTATTTCAACAATGATGGTTTTAACGAGCCGCAAAGACCATGTCAATTGCTATGAAGGCAGTAACCCGACATGAATGTTGTAAATTGTGGTTGTAGCTCCAGCTTATCGATAGATGTCGTAGTTGAAAGTTGTGACAGTAGTCGGTCATATAGGTTGTGGATGGTTGATTCAGACGTTTCGGTTTGCCACTAAGGCTGTAGTAGGGAACTGCAATAACGTTTGTAAGTTGCTGAGCCACATAGGCCGTATTTATTCACAAAGGTCGTAATTATGAGCCGCAATAACGTCTGTAGGTAACAGAGGCCGGATTTGGGAGTTGAACTAGATGTGGATAATGCAGTCGTAGTTGGTTGTGTAGGTCATATTGATGAGCTAGAATAATGTTTGTAGGCCACAAAGGACGGAGTTGGGAGCTACATGATTTACAAACCACATATGTTTTAGTTGGTCACATAGAGTTTGGGGGGGGGGGTGTTGGGGGTTTAGTAACGTCAATTTGCCGACAATATTGTAATAAGAGGTTCTAGTTGCGGTGAACCACATAGATTGTGAGCCGTAGTGAAGAGTTGTGATGAGAAAACTTCAGAAGTTCAGAGAAGGACACATTATTTTGAGTACAATGTTTTTAAGCGGTAATTACAGGAAGTTACACCATCATTCGGGTGCATCGTTGAACTATATTTGGGGTGCGCCTTTAGATCGTCTTTTGACATTTCGTTACACTGTAGTCTAGGTGTGTCGTTATATCTTCTTTAGAGTGTGTCGTTACACTTTCGGGATGTGTTATTATGCCGTCTTCGATGTGCGTTGTTACACTATCTTTGAGGTGTGTTATTATTATTATTCGATGTGTATTGTTATACCATCTTCGGGTCCATCAATATGTTGTAGGATTCATCGATGTCAGTGAACAGGGTGCGGCCAGTGGTGGTTGACAGTTGTAGATGACGACCAACGAGCAGTGATCAATGGTGGTCGGCGGCTGCGGGAGCAAAAAATGTTTATCAAGTCACTGATTTCATACACCTTTTATGAAGGGATAGGCATTTATTTATAGAGTCTGAGAATGTCATCCTTACAACCAAGGATGAAATTTAGACCACTTTATCGAACATCCTAGAGATATTCCTTCAATCGAACAAAGTTTTGTAGATATTTGAGTGTTTTAACGATGTCAGAATTAAGTGATATTAAGCTCGTTGTATTCATTTAGTCAATACACTTAATTTTAATATAAGT